ATATTGAATGGCTTCAATCATTCATATTAAACTGAAAAAAAATTAATTGAATTTGGTCTCCATGATCGATACGTGTGAAAGCCCAAAATGCTTTTATTCTTTATGTATGTTTAAGACTATTGTGTTGTTACAGGACCAAAATATAAATAAATGAGATTAAAATTATTCAAAATTTTAATACTTGATTGCCATGATTGATATGCATAAATAAGTTACGGTTGATATGTATCCTATAAAATAACATATGTTTTTTTATAGGAGAATGAGATGGGCAGTACAATTGGATGTGTAAAACTTTTTCGCGTAACACATAAAAAAAAAGATGGATCTTACATAAATGTCGAAACAAAAGAAATTGTGATAATTTTTATCATCGATTTTAACATAAAATAAATATTTACTCTTTTTAACATATAATCAATTAACCATTAAACTTGATAGTTGTATATGACAAATTCACAGGAGAAAGCGAAAGAGAAAATGGTTGCTGAGATTGAAGTAGCATCTAAAGGTTCTCTCAATATGCAAGAAATGAAAATTGGATATTCATAGAAGTTGCTGAAAAAGAAAGGCATGGACGGGTCCGAGGCCTTGGATTGGGTCTAACACTATCTGCCTGCTATCGATATAACTCTTCATAATTTACACTCTCAGCAAGTCAATCTTTGTAAGATATTTCAATATTGAGAAGAGAATTGCAAACCATGCAACAACATTTTTAGTAAAAGAAAGCATAAAAAGAACAAGAACGTGCCAAAATTGAAGAAGAACGTGTTAAAATAGAGCTAGAGCGTGCAAAATTTCAGTAATTGCATGATCAACTCGATCATCTTATGAATTTTATGCAACAATAATTTTCAGAAAATGATCTTGGTGCTCCACCAACTCGGGTATTATATTTAGTAAATATTAAAATTTTTAAATTAAAAAAAACATACAATGAAGTGTTAAAAATTATATGGTATTATTCAGTAGGTTCTTGAGCACGCTAGTGACCAAAGTAAAAAATTTTCTTCATCAATTGGCAGCTAGCAAAATGTATGCAATCATTCATTTCATACATTTTAATTTTTTATTTTGTTAATTTATTAAAAATATTTGAATGTTATTATACTAATTATTAAACTTTGTATTAATTAGATGTATATTTAAACATGAGTGAAGTTAATATTAATTTCAGTTTCTGAATTTAAGCTCTTTACTGAAAATAAAATTTATTATAAAAAATAAAAAAAAACATTTTTACATAATGGCGGCATTTGCGTTAGGCAATGCCTCTAAATGAATAACTTAGTGGCGTTTGTATAGCGACACTCTTTCTAGTAAATGCCGCTAGTTAGGTGGCGTTTTTTTATAGAAACGCCACTAAAGCAACAACGTTTTTCTCATAACAACGTCAGTGAATTAGCGGCACCAACAAGATACAAACGCTGCTAATATTAAGGCATTTTCAGATTCAAATGCCTCTAAAGTAACGGCATTCTCTGTTACAAATGTCGTCAATGCAATGGCATTTTTCTTATAAAAATGTCATTGAATTAGCGGCTACTACAAGATACAAATATCGTTAATATTGAGTCATTTTCAGATTCAAACGCCTCTAAAGTAGCGACGTATCAAAGAGATAAACGCTGCTAAAAGGGCGATGTTTCATATATAAACGTCGCTAATATTGAGGTATTTTTTTGAAAACACTGTTATTTACCGTGACGCATGTATCGGTAGCACGCTGCGTGGTGTTTTTCATAAATGCCGCAAACCTTATAATGGCCTTAATAAATGCCACTAAACGATAAAAAAAATACTACTAAAAACCAAAACCCTTGTAGTGATTACTAGCTTTGGAGTAGTAGTGCAATGGCCTAGGAAGGAGCAAATGTAGAATTTCGTGCCTGGGGTTCTGAGAGTGATTCTTGTTGGTCCAGTGGTGAAGTTAGAAAGTAGGTTGCTCGTGTTGCATGGTTGATAAGCTTTCTTGGTAGCCTCGGCCACATCATGAAATCAAGTGGTATAGTTGAAAATTGCATGCACAATTGATGAGATTAAAACCAACGTTAGAATTAAATTATTGTGTTTTAATCATATTGAAGAACTTAAAAACTATGCAGTTTCAATTTCATAAAAGATATTTACTCTTAAGTCCTTACCTAGAGTGTTTCCAACCATGAAGGTCTTGCCATTAGCCCATGTTTGGTAAGCTAAAGCACCAGTAGGAGGAAAAGTCCAACCCAATGTGTCTTCAATCGTGTTAAGTCTCTGGTGACCTATATGGAGCTGGGTTTGATGCAGAGATTGGTGAGGAAGAACTAGTTTGCGAAGCTGGAGCAAGGGCAAAAAGCTAAGGAGTAGAAGCTAGTGAAGGTGTTGGTAGTTTAAAATGTAGTGCATCTCATATTGGATAAAAAGATTTAATTATTGATGAATAATATTTTTGTATTAATTTTATTGATATATTAAATAATTATATTTGAATAAAAATAATTATTATATGATAAATGGTTATAACTATTTAAATATAAATAGATATTGTTCATAAAAATTATGATTATACAAAAGGTTATAATAATTTAAATAGAAGTTTATACCTATTTATTCATTATAAATATCTTTTAATATAACCATTTTTATTACCTTAGATTGAAGAGTTTGAGATTTTGTTGTATTCTATCGGTAAAATTACCTTTAAAAAAATATTTTTTACGCCTCAAAGCCAAAATTATTTTATATTGTTTCGCTTCTCTTATTTATTTTTTTAATAATTTAAGAGCAACTATGAAATTCATATTTCGCATGAAGAAAATATAAGGAAAAGAAATTGGCAAAATTAGCAAATTTTGACTTTTGAAATAAGCATGAAAAGCCTCAATTGTCCAAATAATTTCTTGGTGAAATAAATATTAAATACAAGATGAGTTTCTCATTATTATCTTTATAGTTTTTATATTCTAATAAACAAATTGATGATTAATAATTCATAAGAGACTTTGAGTTTCATTAAATTTTACTTTCTTTATTAATTATTCTTTTAATCTTTTAATTTTGAATTAAATTATTTAATTTATGATTTATGATTTTATGGTATGTTATATGTGGATTTTCTTGATCATGGTATTGAATGGTCATAAGCAAAAAATGGACATGGATTACTTGTTAGCTTTAGTTATGAATCTTTTATAGTCTTCTTATATTTTAGTAAAACCATGATTATCAAATAAAAATGATAAAATTCTCAAGAATTATTTTATGTCATAAAAGAAATTATGAATTTATAAATCTTTTCACAAAAAGAGTAAGTATATAAGTTCTTATCATAAAATTATATTTTATGGTCCATATTCCATGATTGCATTTTATTGACAAGAAAATAATGCATGATTCATATATATTATTTTATTTATATTATATTATATCAACAAGAAATAAACATATTATCTAAGATAATTTCAATTCAATTAGAGAAGTTATATAATTCTTTGTAAATTTTTAAAATGCTTTCTATATGTTGGGTGAAAAAAATTCATTTATTTTATAATTTGGACACAAAATTTATCATATTGTATGGTTATACATAAAATTTTAACTATTTTTAATGACATGAATTGTGATGGATATAGCTTTAGTGTCCATAATCAAATACTTTTTAAATATCCAAGAGTTGGAATGAAAGTCTCAAAAGAAGACTATAAAAAGCAAGAGTTTACTAATTTTGAGGGATTGGTGCATACTCTCAAATTGAGCTGAAATAAAAGTTTTAGAACTTTTATTGAAAAAAAATATTAAGATATAATATATTTATTATCTTTTACTATGGATGAATTTGGAGGCCTTCTACTTAAACAAAAGCAACCATTAAATAGTGAAAAGATAGATAAAAATGTAACTTTATTAAGTATATATAATATCTTGATAATTGAATAGGACATTATTTAATAAAAGAATGCATATTTGCACATAGTAGGGTGCTAAGAATCAAAATAAATAAAAATTATCACCATAGTGTTGTAAGACTTTAGTATAATACAACTTATTAAAGTAAAATAAAAAAAAATCTTTAAATATCTTAAAAAAGACTAAAATAGCTTGATTTATTCATTAAGTTTATTCAATTGTACTAAAAGAATAATTATATTAAAATATATAAAAGCGTAAAAATAAAATGGTTGAAATTTTATATTAATGAGTATAAAGTTATGGACACAACCAATACTATCTATTTTTTAAAATGACAAGAGCGAGGTAATAATGTCTAGAGCATATAAATGATAAACAAAATAAAAAGTTTAGATATATTAATCTAAAATGATTATATTAGAGATTCAATCTCAAGTTGAGGTAATTACTATAAAAGAAAATTAAATTTCAAGATATTTAGTTAGTAGTATTATAAATAGAATGGATTTAAACCCTTATTATTAGACACTAATTATGGGAACCTAACTTAGAATTAGTAACCTCAATTATAAAGTTTAATGAGTAAAAATAAGTTATTGTTATATGTTTATTAAGTACTAATAAAATTCATTCAAAATTTAAAAACTTATGCAATCTATTACGTGAGAAGAATAAGTTTTTATATTCTTAATGGAGTTTATTATTTAAATGTCTAAAATAAATGAGATATAATGAAAACTTTATCTATATAAATATGAAAGTAATGTCTCTTCAACAAGAAGAATTGAGATCTTTCTTATAAGTGTTGATGAATAATAATTTTGATATTAATTTTATTCATATTTTAAATAATTTTATTTGAATAATATCAATTATTATATGATAAACGGTTATAACTATTTAAATATAAACAGATTATTATTTATAAAATTATAATTATATAAAAAATCATAACCATTTAAATATAAATTTATTTTTGTTTATTCATCATAAATAAATATTTCAGCATTTTTATTATTTTTGATTGAAGAATTTAAAATTTTATTGTATTTTATAAACATAAATGCAATTAAAAAAATATTTTTGATACCTCAAAATTAAAATTATTTTTTATTATTTCTCATCTCTTATTTTTTTTATTTTAACAGGAGTAGAGGTCGAGAAACAGGAGAAGAAGGTTGAGGAACAGGGTTTAAAGGCTGAGGAGCAGAAGACTAAGCCGCAGCACTAACGTTTATTGCGAACTTTTGACCTAAACTGCAGTGGCCAGGAAAGGCGCAGAGGAAATAGTAATCCCCAGTTTCATCGAGGGTAACAGTTGCAGGACTTTCTGAAAGTAAAAAAAGGGGACTAGCAGCGTTGCAAGCATCATAATTCGCTCTTGTGACTCTAGCCACGCTGTGTGCTCCAGTAGCAAAATTAAAAACTGCACAAAATTTCACAATAACATGTCATAACCAGATCATGCTTAAAATTGTTATCTTCGGCCCTCTGCGGCTCTAATTCGTTCAGGGAAAAAAAACAAACGAAAAGAAGAAACAAGTTTCCGAAATTTTCATTTTTCCCTTTCTGATACTTACCAAGAGTGTCTCCAACTCTGAAAGTCTTGTTTGCAGCCCATATGGTGTAAACGGCAGGGCCTGGGGGAACAAGCCAACCTAAAGCATCCCCGACAACATAAGTTGTCCGTGCCGACGAGCTCTGCAACATCGTCGCTATAGCAATAGCTGCAAGGAATACTATGTTCAATATTCTTCCCATTTTTTTTATTTATTGTGTTCCAGAAAATTCAGGTCGCTCCTTTTCTCTCTCACGCTACTCTGTGTTGGCTCTTTTTCAGGGGAGAACTGAAGTTGGAGAGATTAACTCTTTTTTGTCATATTTATAGGCAAAACGCTTTGATATTCCGGATGGAATGCTAGTTGTTTGATGGACGACACGTGTAATATTGGTCAGCAAGATGAACGCACCGAATTCGGTTGGAGAGTGGTGCAATTTCGCCGAGTTTTGGGACTTTTTGCCACGCTAAAGACTGAATTTATTCTCTTTTAAATTCCCAATATTTTTACCTTACATGAACATATCTTATATGAATAAGTTGTAATTAATTTGATTAATAATATAAATTAATTAAATTAAATTAAATAAAAATTAATTACTCATGAATATATTTTCATATCTTCTATTAGGGCATCAGAATTTTTTTTTCTTTTTAAGCACTCTAACATATATTGTTATAAAATATTATTAATTTATTAAATGATAATTTTTATACATTCTATAAATTACTTTTATTACTTCAATTTTTAGTTTTTAGTCAACTTAATTTACATAAATATATAACAGACAAAGTTTTAGATAAAAAAAAAAAAAGAAAGAAATAATCTTACTTAGAAAAGCTACATTTTTGGCATGTGGGTAGATTTAAAAAATTACCATATTTCTTTTAATAAATGCATTTTAATTATTTGAAATATTTTTATTACTTAAAGAGTAATTAGTTAAGCTAAATTAATTCCATTTATTCTCTTTTAAATACCCAATGTTCTTACCTTATATAAATATGTTGCAATTAACTTGGTTAATAATACAATTAAAAAAAATAAATGGAAAGCTAATTACTCATGAATTTATTTTCATATCTTCTAATTGGAGCACTAGAAATACCTTAAACACCTTACTAATTTTATATCTTATAAAGTATATAAAAGACAAAACCATTAGTAAAAAAGGGAATTTGTTCTATATAGATAATTTAATTTTTTTGACATGTGGTATGTCATAAATAAATGCCATTTATCCTCTAATTAATGGATTTAACTTGATAAATTTTTATTTTAAAATAATTTGTTATGGCAAAATTAATTACATTTATATTATTTAAATATCAATATTCTTGCCTTCTATAAATATCAATATTTTACATATCTTCTAATAGCTATTTATAATTATATAAATATATTAATTTACTAAAACAATCTAATATATATAATCGCTTTAATATATTAACTTTTGACAAAAAAAACCAAATAAGTCAATATATATAAACTAATATTTTATTCATGAATAATCTCAAATGATATTATATGTTTTGATCTTAATCAACAATTTTTTCAATTTCTATCCAATAAATTATCAACTATTCAATAGCTTTAATTTTAGTTTTCAAAAACATTTTGATTATGAATAATTCTTAATTATTTTTTTACAAAAGTCTTCTTGAACATTCAATATCTTCAATTTTTGTTTTAATTTGTTAAAATTTTTCATACTTACATTATCTTAATTTTGGGTGATTGACTATAAAAATAGAAAGAATTGATCGATATGTCAACTTATGTATTTAAAATTTAAACTTCATAATAATATGTAATTAAGGAAAATAGAGTTTTCAGCTGCTTGGCTTAATGGCTAAGACAGTCTTAAAGAAGACATCAAGGCTAGGGTTCGAACCCCAACCTCTCCCCCTTCCCCTTAATGTAAGGCTCTACCCCCCTTGAATGACCAAAAAAAAAATTAAGGAAGATAGAAAATTTTCATTGTAATAAATCATTGATTGATAGCTCAATCTTTGTGATTTAACATTTATGAGTATATATGTGTTATATATAAATATAATGATGATATGACAAAGGTGACAAATACAACATCTGTTGTAAAAAAATTTTCATTTGTATTCTTCTTTTTTTTTTTCCTTTTTCTTGAAACATTGTTTAAATATTGGTTTTTTTTATATATATTTTACACCAATTTTCTATATTTTATAATAAGCTCTAAAGGGTGGTGAAAGATTATGACTTTGTAAATATTATTATTATTATTATTTGTAATATGTTCTTTTATTCTTTTATTTAGTCTTCTATTTTTGTAAATATATTTTTCCTTTAAATTAATGTATTAACTTTTATATTATAAAATACAATACGTACTTCATTTAAAAATCTATTGCAACTTGATTTTGTATACAAGTCGTTTTAGCCAAAGTTTATACATAGTTGATGTTAAAAAATAGCATGTTATTGTATAGGTCCAAAAAATTAATTATTTGTTTTGATTAGGGAGCTTAGTGGTTTTTAATGGTTTGATTTGATTCTTTCTATGATTATTTGTTATTCTGCAATTTTTCTCTAACAAAAATTTCAAAAGAAGACCCACATTACACAAAAAATTTAGAAGCTGAATGAGAAGGATATAAAAGTAAAGCTCATTAATTATATAAGAATTACCAAGGATGCTTTCAGTATGACATTTTTTGTCAAATTTAGAGCATCAATCAAAAATATTTGATTGATTTTCTTTTTTGGGTAATTTTTGAGTTACAAATGAGATTTCGTATTCTTTTTTATGTTATAGTGGATTTTTTTTTTCTTTTTTAGAAGTTACAGTTGATTTGATGTTTTATTTTTATATAGCATATTTGTCTTATTAAATTGGCTAACTAATTTTTTTAGTTATCCAAAATAATATGAATATATGTAGTTTTATTTTAGTTTTTATATAAAAGAAAATACTATTTTATATTAAAAGGTGTATGTATTATTAATTGATTTTTTTCTATTGTAGTTATTTGTTAAATTTCATATAAATTTTTTTTCATTTTTTATATTAAGTTTTATGTTTTTTACATGAGTATGTTTGGACGATGTGAATTTATTTAAATACATTGAATATGCTTTATTATTTTATATGAATTGACTATAACTTTCTATCATTCACCAATTTATTAACTTTTTTTTCTAATATTATTATTCATTCTATATTTGAAAATTTGTAGAACATTTTGAAAAGTTAATTTTTTATGCAACATTTCAAATGAACTTTTATATTTTAAATAGTTTATGTATTTTGAAAAGTAAACATAATCATGTCAACATGTTTATTTCATTTAAAATAAATAATGTCTATTTGTATGTATATTTTTAAAAAATTATTTTTATATAAAGTTTATTAATTATATTATAATTAAATTTTGACATATAATTATATATTCATGCCTCGTACGGGTTTAAAATTAGTGTAAAGTAAAATTTAGGGGAAAATAAACTAAATAAAGAATTAGTGGGAGTTGGCCAAAGATGTAGCGTGGATGCTTCATTATAAAGTCTTACAATTAAAGTGGTTTCTCATTTTATCAATTGAGCATTAATTTAGATGATATATATGTTAATCAGACTATTGAATGTTACGAAAGGACTTAACAGCATGATATCTTCTGGTTTTAATTTATTCTTAAGTTTTAAAGATTGGTATTTCTCTAAACTTAGAATTCGAGTATCAAGTGTATTGGATCTTGTTTATTGAGAATATCTTCCTGAATCGCTTTCCTCATATGAAAAGTATGTTAGACATAAAGATCTTTTCATGATCAGAGTCATATTTTTGGGTATACAAATACATTTATGTATTTGAGAGTATATCATTTTATCATTATTGTAGTAAAATTAATCAAATATAATTTAGTATTATGTAAGATTTATAAAATATATATATATATATATAATTTACACTTTCAAATGATAAATCCTTACCTAATTTTTTGTTATGATTCATTAATTAAAAGATTGTAATTAAAAAAATTTGTAGGTTAAATGTTCCCATGCATACTATTATGGAATAAAGATACCAACCTAATTAATTCAAACCAAAAATACAAAAATTTTTGGTAACCTAAACATGTCCTAATCTTGACCTAACTGATGATTTCCTTCTCTTTTCTTTTTTATACTTTTAGACTCCAATAAACAAATAGAAATCTTCTGTTTATTATTAAAAAAAAAAAACTTCAACCATTACCTTTCCAAATGTGAAAAAAATGTGAAAGGATCAAAATAATGTGTCATTCTTTTTCTACACTTGGCTATCACCTTCCCAAATACGTTAAAAAAGCTAGTATTAGAAGTCTTTGGGCACCGTGTCAAAGCCAAATTTCTCAATTTTCCTCTCATTTATAACCGGCCATGAGGGGAGGGGCAGACAAAAGCAGAAAAAGCAGAGAGAGTACTTTACTTATTATAGAGGTTGAAAATTTTATAATCGCATTAATAATTTCAATCACAAATAGTATAATTCAAGACCCTCACGAATTCTTGGCAAAATATTTAAAACTCTTCTGTCATCTCCTTATTACAATCAAAATCTCAAACTGTATGGCAAATAAGACATCGCAGAAAAATGAATGCCCTCTCTCTCACACTAATTCTAGTTTAGAACTATGTTTTAGTTACACGAAGAAGGCTACAATAAAGGACAGGAAAGTAACGGAGAGACCAGCAACACCTAAAGATGATGCTGCGTTGCCTGGGGTTGGTGGGGTGGCACCACCATTATCCCCGGTGGGAGATGGGGATGAAGAGGCTATTGTATAATTATTGTTTTCTAAATCATACATTATATTTTGATTTAATTAAATCAATATGTTCTTTATATATCGTAGGTTTTGATTTCTTAAATTGTCAATGTCTTTATATATCTTCTGAACTAACGTTTTTTTTATATTCGCTTTTATGATGTAAGTAAGCTACAATACGAAGAAGTAGGTTGAAAGAAAAACATATCAGAGATATTAATTTAGAACCATCTGCGGCACCTATAGATATTGGCTATTGACTGAATCCTTTAGAGGCAAATAAACATATTGTTGGATCTAACTCTGTTACTTCTAACCCTTCAATTGATATTGGATCTAACAATACGGGAGGTCCAGGTTTGATAGTACCCCATCAATTGATTATGCTTTAAATTTGAATGCAGGTATGATATACTCCAATTTTAGAATTCGAGTATAATGATAAAAGTATTACGATTTTACAAATATATTTTATATTTGTTGTAGTTGATAACAATGGTCAACAGAGGACCAGAGGCTGGACAACTTTAAAGGAATTGTTTACACTACCTCCTAACGAGTGTATTGTAGTGTCTACAAACTTTGATAGGCAACCAATTGGTGAAAAGGCTCAACTATTGGCTGGATTTCTAGGCATACTAGCCCGTAATGAAATGAAATTGTCTATTCATTATGAAACATGGCATAATGTTCCAAAAGAAGTTAAGGCCGATGCGTTAAACTTTATTGAAGTATTAGTATAATTAATTACATATATTCAAATTTTTTATTTTACATTTTGTTTACTTATTCAAAATTTTCTTATTGTATTATTACAATCAAGATTTGTACTTGAAAGACTAACTTCATTTGTGCTTAAGTCATTGGGAAAGAAATAGAAAGATTATAAGCACAGTTTAAAGAATAGGTATTTCGATCAAAATACTATTGTAAAGGCGATGATACAAAATCTACCCCGTAATGTGATTAGGTGACAATATGAACAACTGGTTAGATTTTGATTCTCAAGAAAAAGAAAGGTACTAGTTTATAACTTTGTATAATAGAATGAAATGATGAAAGTGTTTGATGGTTTCAGTTGGTAATATTTGTATTTCTATCATATATGTAATTATTTTTTATGACAGGAAAGAGAACAAATTAGGATTGGTAGCAGAAAGCACTATAAATATAGCCATACAAGTTGATCAAAAAGTTTTGCAAGAAAGCAAAAAGATATCGTAAGTTTATGATAATTAACTTATTCCAATTAATGAACTTTTTCTGTCGTTAAAAGGTAAATATGCAAATTAACATTTATTGTTCTGTTTTAATAGATTTGATTGTTTCAATACATAATATTAAACTTATCGAAAGTTTTAAACTTAATTACACAGATGATATGTATGAAATGCTACTGTTTACGTATATTTATGCCTTTAATATCTGGTTGTTGTTATTGTTGTATTTTAACAGTTCGATAGCTTCAATACTTGATATTAAGCTTGTCCAATTGATTGAACTTAGTTTCTATGGTTGATATAAGAGAAAAAATTATCAGTTATGTCTGTTTGAGAATATTTTTACATATAAAAGGTAAATATACAAATAAATTTTAGATGTCTTTCAACATATTGAATGGCTTCAATCCTTCATATTAAGCCGAAAAAAAATAATTGAATTTGGTTTTCATGATCGATACGTGTGAAAGCCCAAAATGCTTTTATTCTTTATGTATGTTTAAGACTATTGTGTTGTTATAGGGCCAAAATATAAATAAATGAGATTAAAATTGTTCAAAATTTTAATATTTGATTGCCATGATTGATATGCATAAATAAGTTACAGTTGATATGTATCATATCAAATAACATATATTTTTGTACAGGAGAATGAGATGGGCAGTACAATTGGATGTGTAAAACTTTTTCGCATAACACAAAAAAAAATATGAATCTTATATGAATGTCGAAACAAAAGAAATTATGGTAATTTTTATCATCTATTTTAACATAAAGTAAATATTTACTCTTTTTAGCATATAATCAATTAACTATTAAACTTGATAGTTGTATATGACAAATTCACAGGAGAAAGTGAAATAGAAAATAGCTGCTGAGATTGAAGTAGCATCTAAAGGTTCTCTCAATATGCAAAAAATGAAAAATTGGATATTCATAGAAGTTGCTGAAAAAGAAAGGCATGGATGGGTCTGAGGCCTTGGATTGGGTCCAACACTATCTGCCTGCTATCGATATAACTCTTCGTAATTTACACTCTCAGCAAGTCAGTTTTCGTAAGATATTTCAATATTGAGAGGAGAGTTGCAAACTATGCAATAATGTTTTTAGTAAATGAAAGCATAAAGAGAACAAGAGCGTGCCAAAATTGAAGAAGAACGTGCTAAAATGGAGCTAGAGCATGCAAAATTTAAGTAGTTACATGATCGACTCGATCATCTTATAAATTTTGTGCAACAATAATTTTCAGAAAATGATCTTGGTGCTCCACCAACTCAGGTATTATATTTAGTAAATATTAAAATTTTTAAATTAAAAAAAAGCATACAATGAAGTGTTAAAAATTATATGGTATTATTCAGTAGGTTATTGAGCACGCTAGTGACCAAAGTAAAAAAGTTTCTTCATCAATTGGCAGCCAGCAAAATGTATGCAGTCATCCATTTCATACATTTTAATTTTTAATTTTGTTAATTTATTAAAAATATTTGA